TTCGGAAGCAGGTCACCAGGCCTTTCTTCCCAGTCTGCCTTAGTTTGCAAGATCCACCGAAACCTGTCCACCATGAGTGACTCTGCTGGTATCTGAAATATACTGGCATGGCTCCCAGCATTACGGCAACACACAAGCTACCAGAGTATGCCAAAGTGACAGGGGTTGGTCATCGATAAATAGCTATTTAATATATTTTATACTACACTGAAGCAGATTTATTTAAGTATGTAAAAATCATTCTGCATTGTAGAGAAGCCCTGGTGGTGCAATGGTTACCCACTCCATTGCTAACTGGAAGGCTAATGGTTTGAACCCACCAGTCAATCTGCTTCCATAAAGATTACGCCCTAGGAAACCCTAGGGGCAGTTCTACGCTATGACATCAGGTTGCTATGAGTTGGAATTGAGTCAATGGCACAAAGCAACAGTTCCATAATGCAAATTATGAACAACATATGAGCATATCAATATTAATATGGGAAAAGTTATACATAATGTTTCAGGATCCTCAAAGATTTCAAATACTTGGTAGAGGCTAGGCATGAAGGATTCAGATAGAGACTGAATCCTTAAGTACCTTTTCGGGTGAACTCTTAACTTCTGTAAGGACTACACCCTACACAGGACAAGTTCACCTATGTGGCTACAGCAAAAACAAAAATCAAACCCACTGCCGTCATGTTGATTTGGACTCATAGAGACCCTATAGGACAGAGGAGGTTTCCAAGGCTGTAATTTCATGGAAGCTGATTGCCACATCTTTCTCCCACAAAGCTGCTGGTGGGTTCAAACTGCCAACCTCTTGGTTAGCAGCCGAGTGCTCAGCACTACACCACCCGGGCTCCATGGAGCCCAAAGCAACATACAAGAAACAGAAGACCCAGAGCAGTGGAAACCCAGAGCCCCCGGCTGGGCAGCCCTACAGCCACATGGCTGACAGCCGCTGGGGTCAGACCAAGACCTCCTGGGTGACCTGTCATCTTAGGGGCTCAGGACACGCTCTGCTTTTCCAAGTCAACTACGTGTGTTTGTGCTAACAAACAACAAAAACGGCCTATTCAGATCCTCATGGCTCAGAACGCACAATGACACCCCCACTGTATCTCAGGGCTCAGTGGGGTATGGAACAGGCTTGCAAACTGTGACTTTTGCTGCTTTGAGGTAAATTCATAAATGTTCTGGGTATCGGGCAAGCCAATACCAAGTCCATGGTTCTTTTCAGATACTAAAATGACTTTTTAATGTGACAGAAATGGGGTAGCATGGCCTTTGATCATCCCAAGTTAACAGTGATACTAGCAATAAAGCTTAGTAACCAAAAACCAAAGTCACTGCCGTCGAGTCACACCCGACTCATAGTGACCCCTCCTTGGGTTTCCGAGGCAGTATCACTAAGGAAGTAGATTGCCCAACCTTCCTTCCAAGGAGTGGCTGGTGGGTTTGAACCGCCAACCTTCTGGTTAGCAGTCAAGTGTCTTAGGCACTATG